TGAATGTAGGAACAATGCCATATTTTACTTTCTTTATTTCTGCCATCTGGACTTGAGTGGACAATTGCAACTCGTCTCTTAAAGAAGTAATTTTTTTTGCGAAACTAGAGCGTTAATCGACTGCAAAAGTTGTGCTTTATTTTCCTGCAGAAGCTGCTGCACACCAGAGGTAACTGGCGGGTCCTCCATTTAAAATGATACGCAGTAAGATAAAATAAATACACGCTTGACGAGCTGCTGGCTGTGACGTGGCAACGCATAGACTGACCAAGTCACACAATACACTACCACAAGCCAATGGGGTATGCCAAATGCGCCCTCTAACGGGTGCCACCAAAACATCTATTTCTGGCTTTACTTCGTACCACAAGAAATAACATTTTACTATTATCTGAGCCTCAAATAAACCGAACGAAAAACAAATACCCAGTTATGATAAACAGTTCACCTCCAAGTGAGAGATGAAATTTATTTGCGGTGTGACAAAAATACCGCCCACTTTGCATAATCACGGGTTATAATTTGTTACGTCACTATGCGTTACCAAGTGGGCAGTCGAAAAACTTGACCGGATTATAGAAAACTCTTGATAAATCGAGTTGTTACATTAACGGAAAAGCGACCGATTTCCTGTTTTTATGTCGATGGTTCGAATAATTGATTTTAAAGTTGTTAGGCTAAACAAATGTGCTAAACACAAAATAATGAAATGACGTCGTTCGGGCGACCGCCACTAAGTTGTGGTCTGAACGCATGGATTCTATAAGACGTAAGTTTCATTTCCGTATTATAATTTTGACTGAATCATGAGGCACTTTTTCACTGTGGACTGTGCAAAGTATTATTATATTTGTATTCCTGAAATGGTTGCAATTGCTGTGAAGGTTCGGTTTAATGACTCACGTCAATGCCTCACACCCAGACGGGGCTGGTAGAATCAACGAATTTAGCACGAAAAGAATTAGAATTGGGAAACGTATTTTACTGTGTTGCTAATCTAATCTAACGGATGCATAAGCGTATACTGTACGTACACTCTCACTCTTTTAATTTTAATTTCCTTTTCATTTGTAATGTATCAGTATGTAAATTGTAAATCAAGTGAACCATTCTAAAACAGGGAATGGAATCTATATGCCGCCACTTTATTTTAATTTGGATACAACCATTATCTTACAGAGGAACTGCAGGTCATAACTGAGGTGAGTTAAACACTGATTTTATAAAATATTTTGATCAATACGTCTCTATATTACATTTATTTTCCAGGGACCATTAATTGCATTTGACAGAGATAATTTTAAAAGACTTCAACATCGGCAATTATAACAGCTTGCTTCATTACAAGCAACACATTCCTGAAAAATTAGTGGTTCATGCTATTTCAATCCGATATATTGACAAAAAGCAGGCCAATTCTATCACGTCTTGCTAGATTCAAACTTATAGCCACTACACATAAAGATGATTTTTCAAAAATGCTCGTATTGTTCTTCATAAACAATATGAAAATATGTATAATTAATTCTTGGCGTAATTAGTGTCACTATGGTTACCATAGTCACCGTGTCAGCCGACAAACAGGCTAATTCGGAGAATAATTCATGGACGAATCTCAGTCATTTCATTTTCACAATCGCGCACTCCTTTGTTTCGAGTAAACACTGCCCTTAATGTACCACTATTATTTGCTAATTACTGAGACAAGATTGGGCTGTCTCTTTTCAACACCATGTCCCGTATATAAAACTACACAAAAATAACATCACATAACTTAAAATACCAATAATATCACAATGTAAGATTATAACGGTGGTTGAATGTGCATGCACGTTCTTCCAAAGCCAGTTCTATATCAACACCCTCATTGCATCATTACACCGGCACCACTTTCCTAGTGTCCTTGTGCCTTACATCAATTCGGACATTCAGGTTATGTTGGTGCAATTTATATGGAAATACCACTACTGGCTTTTCTGTATTTACCCCGTATCTGAAACATTATACTAAAAGTCGTAGTGTTGTTTCTTTATAGTGGCAAATAACTGCATTGCCTTCACAGTTTTCAAACACGACAGTATGTCTATTACGTCACTGTGTGAGCTCTAAGTTTCATCTCCACTAGTCCCTTCTTAGCTTGGTCAGCATTTTCTCTTTGATCTATATGAAAGTCATTTTGTTGAAGGCAAATACATTACTAGAGTCCGACTTTGATTAGTCGAGAACAGTCGGTTTGTAATTTGTTTTTACTTTTTGAATGAATTGTGGTTGGGGCTAATACAATGATTGGTATAATCTCCTCAATACAGAGCAGTCAGTTCAATAAACTAAAGTAGATCCCACCCAAAGCATCTACACGCTATTGGCACCAAGTGTTCTTTCTGTTAATACATTTTCATTGTCCATTTCCCTCGAAATTTGTACCCTATTTGGTATGTGAATTATCTTGACAAGATTTATGCTTGTATTGCTTTTATGTAAAGGGTGGTGTCAAGATTTTAACCTCCAACCGTGGTCAAAACTGACGACGCTGATCTTTTATACCAAACACGCATGAGTATATTTTTGAAATACAGGTTACTATAATCTGCACTCCAAAATACACGCATTGATCCAGACACGTGTCAGCATGATGCTGTAAGTATTAGCTCCCGTCACGTGATCTCAATAACGTATGTTTAGAGTTTGTCCAATGGGTCCAATGCACTTGTCGTTAAAGTGACACACACTTTCAAATTCAGCGTAATGAAACATTCTAATTTACACACGTTATACACGTCACATGGAATACACAACAAACACGACCCCGCGACTTTGTGATTTAAAGGCTTGTCCTGTTTCATGGTTATTATGTTGTAATTACTAGATGTGTGACAGCAAATGTAGCTCAATAATTCATGGAAGCAAAGTAAATTTTCAATCGGAGCTTGTACAGACAATATAATTAATATTAGTTTTGTCGTGATCGATATAAAGCCATGTAATGCATACAACTGGTGTAAGACGCATCTTTCTTTCTTTCTTTGTATACCAAACTAACTCTAATTTGTTTTCAGTAAATTATCAGCGAGAGTTCCTTTTCATTATTTATTTGACATTTTGATGCTGGAATTCAAGTTTATATATATTACATCCTGCAATCAGTAATCCGTAATTTTGCTGAAACCGACAAATTCGAATTGCCATCAAACAGCATATCGAAAAAAACATCCCCGAATAAATAATCTAATAGTACATGCAATGAGAAAATCAAAATCTGTGTCCAGATCTTGGTAGTAGAAGACTGTTAACCACACCTGTAACAAAAATGATCTTTTTAATATGTTGCCAATTATATTAAATGTATTGCTTATTAACAAACCGGGACGCGATCGTCTAGGTTCATTTTGAACCTCCTGTGCAATTCATAAAGTCATGCGTGGCTTTAAAACACGCTGTTTTCAATAGTCGAAAAAATCCAAAAAGTGACAATAGCTTGTAATCATTGGTACGGCATATGTACGTCTGTATTAGTTAGCTTTCATATTACATGCTTAGTAATGTCTACTAGGTTTCACCCAATTTGACTTAGATTAAAGCTATTCATGCATCTGTAATATCAACATATGGAACAGAAACATACATGAAGCATCTGTCGATTTTATATACATTGATTCTATACTTAACTCCCTAAAGACAGGTGATTCGGTGTCGTAAATGAATCACGATACGACAACTGTTTGAATAAGAAATAACGAACTTACACTTTTCCGTTTACCTTCCAGCTTTCACCAAACGTAGTGGCGTCGTTTACTTCAATACTATTGGGCGTCTGGAAGTCATTACGTTTGTCTCCATCAGCATTACCTAGCAAACCACAGATCTTGCCATTGTAATCAGTGCCAGAGAATGCTACTTTTAACAGATGCTTGCTCGGTGTCCATTCCAGAGTGAATGTTGTATCCTTGGACTTGAATATCAATGTAATCAATTGCTCGTAGTTCTTGATATGTATAGCAGTTGAGTTTACATGTCCACCCTCAATGCTTCCCTGTAATATAAATTAATATATATTAAAATCTTAAATATTGTGAAGACCACAAGCCTCTATAAAGTTGTATTACTATGTAATTTAATATATGTCACATTTTTGATTGTCTAGCTATCCGATATGATTTCTCAGTAACTTACTGTAACTACATCGCGGCGATTAACAATAGCATACTGAA